TGACAATTTTGATACCTTTTGGAAACAAAACACGTTTTATAAGGAGGATGGGATCCACCCAAATCGCTTTGGGTTCCTGGATCCTTTCACAGCATTATAAGGCTGCGTTGAGACAATGACTTAGCAATGGCCCAAGCCCAGCTCAGCTAATCCCTACCATTGTGACGCAGAGTTGTCAAAATGCTTCAGCAAATGTACATTACATCAGGGGCATCGGTAGTCACAATATAAGTAACCTAATTTATGTCCCTCTAACTGCCCTGAATGCCACCGCTGATCCTACAGCTATTGTGTGCAGTAATCATGTGCCTAAGAACCAGATTTATACTGTTAGCACTGAGCCGGTGTCCCCGAGGAGGCAGTCCACTGTGTGCAGCTCACTGTGCACTAACATAAAGAACATGAGCACATCTACTGCTGCTAAGCTTCCCAGTAAAGCAATAAAAACAAGTAAGCATCCCAGAAGAAAAGTGCTCAAAATAGCCCACGTTAACATTTGTAGCTTAAGAAACATGGTTCATGAAATCAATAATTTGCTAGTAACAGATAACATTCATATTCTGACTATCTCTGAAACTCACTTAGATAATACCTTTGATGATACAGTGGTAGCAATACAAGGTTATAATATTTACAGAAAATATAGAAATGCCAATGGTGGAGGTGTTGCTGTTTATATACAGAACCACATTCCTGTGAAGATTAGAGAGGATCTCATGTTAAATACTGTTGAAGTAGTATGGCTACAGGTTCATCTGCCTCACCTAAAGCCAATTCTGGTGGGAAGCTGCTATAGATAATGTATGTGATATCAATAGAGAGGTATACTTTCTGGGTGATTTAAATATTGACTGGCTGTCATCAGGCTGCCCCCTCAAGAGAAAGCTTCAAACTGTAACCAGTGCCTGCAACCTGGTTCAGGTTATCAGTCAACCTACCAGGGTGGTTACAAACAGTACAGGAATTAAATCATCAACATGTATTGATCATATCTTTACTAATGCTGCAGATATTTGTTTGAAAGCAGTATCAAAATCCATTAGATGTAGTGATCACAATATAGTAGCCATATCTAGGAAAACCAAAGTTCCAAAGGCTGGGCCTAATATTGTGTATAAGAGGTCATACAATAAGTTTTGTAGTGGTTCCTATGTTGTTGATGTAAAGAATATATGTTGGTCTGTGGTGTGTAATGAGGAGCAAACAGACACTGCACTTGACACTTTTATGAAATTGCTTATTCCAGTTACTAATAAGCATGCACCCATTAAGAAAACTGTAAAAACGGTTAAATCCCCGTGGATTGACGAGGAATTGAACAATTGTATGGTTGAGAGGGATGAGGCAAAAGGAATGGCAAATAAGTCTGGTTGCACAACCGATTGGCAAACGTATTGCAAATTGAAAAATCATGTGACAAAACTGAATAAAAAGAAGAAGAAACAACACTCTGAAACAAGGATAAATGACAAAAAGAATGATAGTAAAAAGCTTTGGAGCACCATAAATGAAATTTTGGGAAAAAAGGCAAACTCAGCTCCATCATTCATTGAATCAGATGGCTCATTCATCACAAAACCAACTGATATTGCCAACTACTTTAATAATTGTTTAATTAGCAAGATTAGCAAACTTAGGCATGACATGCCAGTAACAATTGCTGACACTACACATCGAAGTATATCTGACCAAATTATGAAAGACAAGCATTGTAATTTTGAATTCCGTAAAGTGAGTGTGGAAGAGGTGAAAAAATTATTGTTGTCTATTAACAACGACTAGCCACCGGGTCTGACAACTTGGATGGAAAATTGCTGAGGATAATAGTGGACGATATTGCCACTCCTATTTGCCATATTTTCAATTTAAGCCTACTAGAATGTGTGTGCCCCCAGGCTTGGAGGGAAGCAAAAATCATTCCGCTACCTAAGAATAGTAAAGCCCCCTTTACTGGCTCAAATAGCCGACCAATTAGCCTGTTACCAACCCTTAGTAAACTATTGGGAAAAATGGTGTTTGACCAGATACAATGCTATTTTACAGTAAACAAATTGACAACAAACTTTCAGCATACTTATAGAAAAGGACATTCAACAAGCACAGCACTTACACAAATGACTGATGATTGGCTGAGAGAAAGTGATGATAAAAAGATTGTGGGGGTTGTTTTGTTAGACTTCAGTGCGGCTTTTGACATTTTTGATCATAGTCTGCAGCTGGAAAAACGTATGTGTTATGGCTTTACACCCCCTGCTATAATGTGGATAAATAGTTACTTGTCTAACAGAACACAGAGGGTGTTCTTTAATGGAAGACTCAAACATAATCCAGGTAGAATCAGGAATTCCCCTGGGCAGCTGTCTAGGCCCCTTGCTTTTTTCCATCTTTACTAACGACATGCCACTGGCTTTGAGTAAAGCCAGTGTGTCTATGTATGCGGATGACTCAACACTATACACGTCAGCTACTACAGCAACTGAAATAACTGAAACACTTAACAAAGAGCTGCAGTTAGTTTCAGAATGGGTGGCAAGGAATAAGTTAGCCCTGAATATTTCCAAAACTAAAAGCATTGTATTTGGGTCAAATCATTCACTAAACCCTAAACCTCAACTACATCTCGTAATGAATAATGTGGAAATTGAGCAAGTTGAGGTGACTAAATTGCTTGGAGTAACCCTGGATTGTAGACTGTCATGGTCAAAGCATATTGATACAACAGTAGCTAAGATGGGGAGAAGTATGTCCATAATTAAGCACTGCTCTGCCTTTTTAACAACACTATCAACAAGGCAGGTCCTACAGGCCCTAGTTTTGTTGCACCTAGACTGCTGTTCAGTAGTGTGGTCAGGTGCCACAAAGGGGGACTTGGGAAAATTGCAGTTGGCTCAGAACAGGGCAGCACGGCTGGCCCTTAAAAGTACACGGGGAGCTAACATTGATGACATGCATGTCAGTCTCTCCTGACTCAGAGTGGAAGAGAGACTGACTTCATCACTGCTTGTTTTTGTGAGAGGTGTCGACGAGCTGAATGTACCAAGCTGTCTGTTTGGAATAGCTGCCTTGGCAGCAGCTAATGTGGATCCTTAATAAATACAAAATACAAAATACAGCACAACAAGGTGAGTCCAAAAATGTATTGTATGCTGCTGCATAAATGATGTAATATGCCAGGGAGATATGTATACTGTAGCTAAGAAAGTAATACTAAGTGTATGTTGTGTAGTAAGCTGTTAGTAGCCCATGTGCCTCACCCTAATAATTTGGTCCCTTTTCCCCTCATAACTTAGCCTACTGTTCTGACTTGGTGGTGCACATGTAGCCTATAGCCTGTTCTAGAGAAACGTCATCATCGAATATTGTAAGTACTTTCATTGTCTGCTTATATGCCCCCTTTATTTATCCTACGGTTCTGACATGGTGTACAGGGAAAATACTGTAAGAACGGCCCATGTTCTGAATTCTGTCGCTGTACATTTCAAAAGTGCTGAACAAATAATTATATTGACTATGTCCGTCCTAGCTCGCTCATTAATGTCTTTATCAAAATTACGAATTGCCTCTTATCCGCTCGTCGTCCCCTTATGCCATAGTTTGTACATCTCAATTGTCAGTAGAAACCATATTTGTTTCAGCAAGTCAGCCATATTAGCCATGTTTTTTTTTAAGGCAGTAAGTGAGGCTGAATGAACTGCTCCACTGATAGCCAGGTGTAGCAGTGGTAAGGTGTTGGGACTGCTGTTGGGACAGCTTTATGTGGGCCCTAACAGTTTGTGGGCACCGTTTGTCACCGTTATGGTGCAATTAATGTATTGTTTAGTGTTGTGTTGTGTAGTGGCTTTGCTGGCATGCATCTAAACGTTTATTTATTTCTTTGCCCCACCAAGATTTACATGCTAAAATCGCCACTGTCTATTTCTGAGTCTTTCCCTTTCAATCGCCATAGAAATGGCTCCTGTCAACGTAGATTGATCGCAAATATAGGCAATGAAAGCCAAAGATCTAGATGTGAAAATGACGAAGGTATCAAGTTCATTTAGATTGGTCCAACCAGCGGAAACACCTCCAAATGGGACCACCTCACAACGCCCAACATGTGAAGAGATACAACCATAGATAACGGGGCAGTCTAAACTATCAACGGTCGGTCACAAAAAAAAATATATATATATCAACGGTCACAGCAAATTAACGTTCTTATTTCATCAACACTGTCAAGTACAAGTATATTAAGGTTCTAATATTGTAGAGAACAATGTAATTATGAATTATATGTCATTTATAATGACAAAGGGCAAAGAAAACTACGTTTTGACATTCATTTCGTAGCACCCTCTTCTTGATTGCCCCGTTTTCTCTAACGTTACATTGTACAGCAGTGATTGAACGCCCTATTTACTAGGCTGGCAGCTAAGGTTAACTACATTCATTGCCAATGCACAATATTTGTTCAACAGTTGTGAAATTACTATTAGAACATCTATAAGAACAGCAGTTAAATTGTACACCACTTCACCCATGCTTAATAACATCAACAATGGGTTATCGTTTTGTAAACTAGCAAGCATACACTGACGTTTGCTTACATGCGTTGCTATGGTTACACAGTACCACAATCTACACAGTACCAAAAGCTGTCAGGAGCAGTCTGTCTCTCAAAATGGACCAAGAAGTAAATGTTCTAGCCTAATAATTTCAATACTTACATATGAAATGTCATCCCACATCCCAGGCTTGAATTGGTGCTGGCTGCATCCTTATTCCGCACATTGTAGCATTGTTGACAAGTTGGCTATTTTAATGTGGGTAGGCCTATTGTTATTCCCTGATTCACTCCCATTATTAATCAAAGCCCCGAAAGGAGGGTGGCTTAAAGGCTCTTATTGGCCAGGGTTTAGGGTTAGCGTCATTGCCCCGGCCCGCACGAGTGACCCTGCTGCCTTCACTGCACAGTACTTTCTGTCTGGCACGCTGCTGTGACACGACACAGGAAGCTCAAATTGTCAATATCCAATGATATACATAATTCTGAATATCCCGTCCCTCATTGGCTCTCCGCTGAGAACGAGAACGGGTGGCTGTCCGCAAGCCCGTGGTGCTGAAATCTCGGCTCGCTATGATAACAATGTAACGGCAATGAGACAATTCACTGTGGAACCCAATAAACACCACCAAAATGGACGATGATTTGTTCCAGTTAAGACAAGTCCCGTGAGTATTTAAAAAAAACTTCTTAATTTCTAATTTGATCGTAACTGGGACATTTTGCTAAACCGACCCTTCGCGCACAGCCTTTCTTTTGCACACATTTTCGTGATCGTTTGAATTGCAGCTGTTGGGTGACAATGATCTCTTGACATAACAATATGTGCAACATTGTATTCCTCTTTTGAGCTAGTCAAGAGTACTCTACGCAAATACAGTGTGGCATGTCGAGGAACTTGCCATGCGTTTTGTTTGAATGCAAAGCATCAATGACCGGTAAACAGTAATCCTGACCCAACTGCTCATATGGGTGCTACAACAATGTCGGCTAGTATTTGTATAAATTGTTTCCTTTTATCTCAAGGTCTTTTTACTGGTAGTGACAGTGTGTATATTTCACAGGGGGTTCATTCACATCATTGCCTGCTGTATATGAAGCTACTACTGTGCCAACATCATTCGTCATGCCTTTATTTTGATCATGCATAAGTTGCACCAGTTTGTTAGAATGGGTTGGTTAACATCTAACATGTTACACAACATAGCCTATTTTCATTTTATCCCTAATATTTTTGCTCGCAATGGCCACACATTTAGCCTAACAATTACTGTAGGTATACTGTAGGTAACAGATGTGTATGGCAGCCTATTACTCATTATTAGTAGCAACAAATATGACCGTGATTTAGAATGGTTTTAGAATATCCATACTACAATTGTATCTATTGCGTTACACATTATTTAGTAGCAACAAATATGACCATGATTTAGAATGGTTTTAGAATATCCATACTACAATTGTATCTATTGCGTTCAGTTCTGTTTATTGGCAGAAAGATAGACACACTTTTCACTGAAGCTGGTCGACCAGAGTTATCCACTCCTGGCTATCACCATCAACTTCCAACTATGTTCCTATTGAGACTCTCCTTTTTTATGTGTAATAATAAAAAGGCATAACATTCTCTTTACAATTGTTCCTATGCTAGTAAAGCAGTGACTTGGCATTAGGCTCAGTTACTACATAAAAAACAGAGAACTGAAATTGTGCAATGTGACCGTGGCAGCAAACTGTCTTTCTCCCCAGTGTGAACCCCAAAATAATATTTCCGAACAGGATACATAGATCTTATGCTATTACTTGTGAGGAGATGATGGTTGAGGCAATTAGGCCACATTGCAACTTTCTTGCAGAAAGTGTAAAGCCACCAACACAAAGGTTTACAGAATCTGTCCATTGTGCAATGACCTTCTCCAAGTCTATATGGGATACATGTGGGATTGTTCTGTACAGAACTGAAAGAAACTGAACCACAGTAAACAAGGCATGTTGATTTCTAGGCTCCTCACTGGGCGATCAGCTGCATTTCTTCTGCCCTTGGCAAATCTGTGTAGTAATTAGAGTGATTAAGACATCACTGGGCTGCCTCCAAGTTCCTTTTACAGTGTTCCACCCTCTATCAGCAATCTGTTATCTTACAAAATGTGGAGTTTATAAGCTCCATGTACAGATAACATACGGGTGTTTTAGGTATTGTCTCAATTTGAGAATTACTATTTTTCCTCCATTCCATATCAAATCTATTTGTTGTCTACACACAATGATTAGGTGTCACACAAGTTTGTCAGTTGTGAACAGCAGTGCATAACCTCCCTCTGTTTGCCTGACAGGAACATCTCATATCACCTAGGCAACAGCCTCTCATTCTCAGCTTCATTCAGCTGTGTTGGCACAAACTTCTTCTTTACAGTAGGCTGTCAAACTGATCCAAGATGATCTTCCTGGTTTTCTCTATTGCAGCGTGGTCAAGTTCCGTCGCACGGGTGAGAGCACACGCTCTGAGGATGACGGAGGGGAGAGAGAGCAGGAGGTCCAGATCGATGGGAGGCAGGCTTACATGGAGTCTGTGGTACTTCAGGATGGCGCACTAGTACCCCGGGAGTTTGCCAATCCAACTGATGGTATGACTGGGTCCCTCCTTAGCCACCACTCTGACATTACCATCCAAACTCATATTAACTCCCATATGCATGGAACCGCCTTCCCCCTCTCTCCTTCCACTTACCCCCCCTGGGGACCACTGGGCTCTTATAATGGCTTTTCTCTTTAATGAGATTGACTACTGTTACTCATTGTGTACACATTTATGATAGTAACTTGCAATCCATACTTGTTATTTGATTTCCTACTTGAGTTGGTATAGAATTTATTGTTAATTGGTTACACCTCATATTCTCCCCAGACACTTTCATGGTGGAGGATGCTGTGGAGGCCATTGGTTTTGGGAAGTTCCAGTGGAAACTCTCCATCCTCACTGGTCTGTCCTGGGTGAGCAGCCACGCTTAAGGCAGTCCGAGAGAAAAACGTAACAGTTTCATAACATGTTGTGTATGTGCTCTATTTCAAACCTGTACATGTGGATATAATGTATATGAGCACAATTCACTGTGTCTTCATTGTTTCCTTTCCCAACGGTCCTTATGGCCTTGTTTGTTCAGATGGCTGATGCTATGGAGATGATGATTCTAAGCATACTGGCACCACAGCTGCACTGTGAATGGAGGCTTCCAAGCCTGTGGGTGGCGCTACTCACCTCGGTAATGCCGGACTTATTCTTACATTGATTACCAGTAATACTAAATGATAACTGGATTGGTGGGCTAACGGTAGTTAAAATCTAATGAAATGTTTTCGTCACATACACAGTTTACAACAGGTATTAAAGGTGCAGTGAAATGCTTATGTGCTAGCTCCCTCAACAATGCAGTACATGAATCAATAATAGCAGTGAGTTGTTGAGAAGTTGGTGATGATTGTATGGACTAGTAGTGATGAGTGTAATAGCAGTAGCTGTTGATGTTAATGCAGTCTTACAGTGTCACTTGTCACTTTTCATTACTAACAAGGCCTCTACATATAGTGATATCCATTTCCTCTGTTTCTTCAACTCCAGGCGGTGTTCATTGGAATGATGATCAGCTCTTCCATTTGGGGGAACATATCCGATAAGTATGGCAGAAAAACAGTGAGTTCAACGACTGGGTTTATTATGGGAGAGGTTAGAAACTTTCACAACAGGACAGACACAGCTATATCGATTTCTAACTGGCATTTCACAGCAGTTGGGTCATTCCACCAATTCGGTGCCTTTTTAGAAGTGTAACTTAGTCCCAAAAAAACATTTGATTTCACCTAATTTTAACATTCTGTCATAAAAAGCACCCATCTCAAGTGGTTAAATAAAAAAAGAACTATAGTAAGTTTCAAGTTTTAATGTCACATGCACAAGTACAGTGAAATGCCTTTTTTGCTAACTCTAACCCAAACAATGCAGTATTCAATAACAGTGTAATACAAAAAATAACAAGGTACAACAAAAACACACAAGATATAAAAATAAGAAATAAGAAGAACACGATAAAATAGAATGCATTTGGAAAGTATTCAGATCCCTTGACTTTTTCCAAATTTTGTTACGTTACAGCCTTATTCTAAAATTGATTAAATCGTTTTTTCCCCCTCATCAATCTACACACAATACCGCATAATGACGAAGCAAAAACAGGTTTTTATAATTTTTTGCAAATGTATAAAAAAATAACCCCGGAAATATCACATTTACATAAGTATTAAGACCCTTTACTCAGTACTTTGTTAAAGCACCTTTGGCAGCGATTACAGCCTCAAGTCTTCTTGGATATGACGCTACAAGCTTGGCACACCTGTATTTGGCAAGTTTCTCCCATTCTTCTCTGCAGATCCTCTCAAGCTCTGTTAGGTTGGATGGGGAGCGTCGCAGCACAGCTATTTTCAGGTCTCTCCAGAGATGTTCGATCAGGTTCAAGGACATTCAGAGACTTGTCCCGAAGCAACTCCTGCGTTGTCTTGGCTGTGTGCTTAGGGTCGTTGTCCTGTTGAAAGGTGAACCTTCGCCCCAGTCTGAGGTCCTGAGCGCTTTGGAGCAGGTTTTCATAAAGGATCTCTCTGTACTTTGCTCCGTTCATCTTTCCCTCGATCCTGACTAGTCTCCCAGTCCCTGCCGCTGCAAAACATCCCCACAGCATGATGCTGCCCCCACCATGCTTCACTGTAGGAATGGTGCCAGGTTTCCTCCAGACGTGATGCTTGGCCAAAGAGTTTTATCAGACAAGAGAATCTTGTTTCTCATGGTCTGAGAGTCCTTTAGGTGCATTTTGGCAAAGTCCAAGCGGGCTGTCATGTGCCTTTTACTGAGGAGTGGCTTTCGTCTGGCCACTCTACCATAAAGGCCTGATTGGTGGAGTGCTGCGAAGATGGTTGTCTCTCAGAACTCTGGAGCTCTGTCAGAGTAACCATCAGGTTCTTGGTCACCTTCCTGACCAAGGCCCTTCTCCCCCGATTGCTCAGTTTGGCTGGGTGGCCAGCTCTAGGAAGAGTCTTGGTGGTTCCAAACTTCTTCCATTTAAGAATGATGGAGGCCACTGTGTTCTTGGGAATCTTCAACGCTGCAGACATTTTTTGGTACCCTTCCCCAGATTTGTGCCTCGACACAATCCTGTCTCGGAGCTCTACAGACAATTCCTTCGACCTCATGGCTTGGTTTTTGCTCTGACATGCACCTTCAAATCATGTCCAATCAATTGAATTTACCACAGGTGGACTCCAATCAAGTTTTAGAAACATCTCAAGGATGATCAATGGAAACAGGATGCACCTGAGCTCAATTTCGAGTCTCATAGCAAAGGGTCTGAATACTTTCTTTTTTTGTATTTTTTTCTATAAATGTGCATAAATGTCTAAAAGACTGTTTTCACTTTGTCATTATGGGGTATTGTGTGTAGATTGATGAGGGGAAAAGTTAATATAATCCATTTTAGAATAAGGCTGTAACGTAACAAAATGTGGAAAAAGTTAAGGGGTCTGAATACTTTCCAAATGCACTGTAAGTAAGCATACTATATACAGGGTCAGTTCCAGTGCCATATTTACAATGTGCAGGGATACTGGATCGATAGAGGTAGATATGTATAGGGGTAAGGTGACTAGGTATCAGGATATATAATAAACAGAGTAGCAGCAGTGTATATGATGATTGTATGTGTAGAGTCAGTATAATATGTGCATATTATGTGTGAGCAAATCATGGAGTGAGTGTTTTTATTTGTGTTGGAGTATCGGTGTGCGTAAGTGTGTAGGGCCCTCTGAGTGTGCATAGAGACAGTGTAAAAATAAGAATAAAATACAAAGGTCAACTCAGATAGTCCGTGTAGCCATTTTGTTAGCTATTTAGTTAGCTATTTAGCAGTCTTATGGCATAGGGATAGAAGTGCCTATTAAGTTCCAAATAAAGTAACATGGTTGACCGTAACAGGGTTGACGATTTAATCTTAAATCAGCCATAAATCCCCTTGTGACAGGTGGAATGGAAGCTTGTTGTGTGGAACAGGGAGTGGCAATTCAATGCAAGCGTCACAAAAAAAAAAAAAAAATCAAACAAAATGACAAACCTGTCTATCTATGCGTAACAGGGTTGACATGTTCTGCTCGACCCGCTCAGTTTTCCACCACAAAACACTAGCAAATGGCCAAAAAGAGTAGATCCAGCTCACCTGCTTTTACACATGATTTGGCTATTAGATGTTCAATGTTTCTTTTGAAAAAATATGAAAAAGGAATAGTTTCACCATATTAAAACGAGAGTTCTGTTCACATAACAGGGTTGACCTTAAAATGAGGGACAGACTTAAATGAATCACTAATCACATGAAATAAATAATAATCTTCAGAAATGACTTTGTCAGAGCAACAAAATAACTAGGACTTTACAATGATGGTGAGAACTTGGAGAAATGTTGTGGCTACGTGGATTAAAATCTTCCTAGAAGTCACAGAGGGTGCACAGGGGGAAATACTGAATTTTGGGACTTCAGCAAGTCTTTATTTAAATAAAAAATCAGATTGATTGAATTCTCCATGTGGTCTAAATTAAAGGACGCTTCATTTAATATAGGCTTTTAAAATTCAATATTGGTGCACAATTTCTGCTTAAAATCTCAAAGGGATGCAAAAGACAGTCATTTCGTGGAACGACACAGTTATGTGCTTTGACAGGCTTTCATGAGACATCAGTTTTATATCAACGTCTTGGGAAGAGATGGGGAATGGGGAGATCCAGAACATGTGATGTGTGGTAGAGATAGTTAGGGTATTTTGCTGTCAGTGTCAGAGCTCACGGTTGTGGATGTGGGTGTGTGTGTGTACACAGGGTCTAAAGATGAGTGTGGCGTGGACCATGTTCTACGGTGTACTGAGCGCCTTTGCCCCCGTCTACGGCTGGATCCTCTTCCTCCGCGCCCTGGTGGGCTTCGGCATCGGAGGAGCCCCACAGTCGTATGTATACCTTCTCCCTTCCTGTTGGCATTATAACAATAGCTACAGTATACTGTAGTAGGTCATAGTAAAGGATTGGGTTATGTAATCTACCCAGTTATAAGTAGGCTACATATTTGACTTTATATTAATGACACACAATAATAGTTCATAGAAGTAGAATAATAGTGACATGTACTTCTCCCTTCAGGGTGACACTGTATGCAGAGTTTCTCCCCATGAGGTCCAGAGCCACCTGCATCTTGCTGATAGAGGTATGGCTTACCCTTTACTATCACTTAACAAGAGTTACACCCTAGTCTGTGGCCTGTCCAACTCAACTCCTCTCTCCTGCACTTCTATCTCTCAGTCCAACTTTGCAGTTGTCTTGTGAGGTCCACTTTTAACTCTGTCAAGTCCGTCATTGATTTGAGACATTAGCAGGTCTATGCGGTGCAAATTGATCCACTTGTTTGTGAGTGATCCTCTTGATGCCAGGTTTGTGGCCCCTCAGGAGCAGGATAGATCTCCACTCTGACCTGGATCAATTAAGCTGCTTCAATGTGCCAGGGAACTCATCATGCCAACCATCTCCTGTACCTATTGCTGTGCCCCTGCAGATATTCTGGGCACTGGGCACTGTGTTTGAGGTGCTGCTGGCCATCCTGGTGATGCCCACTTTGGGCTGGCGATGGCTGCTCGGCCTCTCCACCGTTCCACTCTTCATCTTCGCTATCCTCTCTTTTGTGAGTATGCAGTGGTGTAAAGTACTTAAGTAAAAATACTTTAACGTACTACTTAAGTAGTTTTTTTGGGTATCTGTACTTTACTTTACTATTTCTGACAACTTTTACTTTTACTTCGCTACATTCTTAAAGAAGTACAAACCCAAAAGTACTCGTTATATTTTGAATGCTTAGCAGGACTGGAAAATGGTCCAATTCACGTACTTATCAAGAGAACATCCCTGGTCATCCTACTGCCTTTGATCTGGCGGACTCACACATGCTTCGTTTGTAAATTATGTCCGAGTGTTGGAGTGTACCCCTGGCTACATGTAAATGAAAAAAACATGAACATTGTGCTGTCTGGTTTGCTTAATATGAATTTATTTATACAATTTATAATTTTAAGTATATTTTTGCAATGACATATATTTAAAACCAACTACTTTTACTTTTACTCAAGTAGTATTTTACTGGGTTACTTTCACTTTTACTTGAGTCATTTTCTACTAAGGTATCTTTACTTTTACTCAAGTATGAAATTCCACCACTAATATGAAAGTAACAGCTACTACCAATTCACTAGAATAAAATGGTACACTATTAAACGACTGACCCTTTGGTTTTGGAAACAGTGGCTGCCAGAGAGTGCGCGCTATGACGTGTTGACAGGGAACCAGGAGAAAGCTCTGACTACCCTGAAGCGAATCGCCAAGGAGAACGGAGTCCCCATGCCCCTGGGAAAACTAATTGCTGCCAGACAGGTACAGCCCAGCACATACAGATATTGTATGGAATACGTACAGGGCATACTAAAAAGCCATAGTTTGCCTTGTTTCAGTTGTTTATCTGTCATGTCGTGTTTCTTGACTGTTTGTCAATTAGGAGGACCGTGGGAAGATCCAGGATCTTTTCTCACCGCATTTTCGCTGGACCACAATTCTGCTGTGGTTTATTTGGTAAATAACTTAAACCCTTTTAACAAAGAAAAACTTTACATTTCCTCATTTCTAGATACAGGTAATAAAAAATAAGTTGATCACTGATGACTAATTCAACTCTTACATCTCTAAAACTTAACCAGTACTGCTCTGTTACATACTTTGATTGAACATCTTCATAAGAGTTGCATCTTTAATTAACCCAGTTTTCCTTATTGGAATCCTTAGATTGACTGAGGACTGTGTTTTATCTGTCTCAGGTTCTCTAATGCATTCGCCTACTATGGCCTGGTCCTACTCACCACTGAGCTCTTCCAGGAGGGGGGCGCCTGTGGGGGTGAGTTACTGCTCCTTTTCCTCTGACATCATCAGTAACACTCACGCAAACACTCTTAAGGACAGCATTAACCTGCTGAGCCCAAACCATCTTTTAAAAACAAAAAATTGATATTTGTGTAATGCTTTAACCAAGAATAACTCCAATTGACCTCAGGTTACATTAGCCTTTAAGTCTCAAGGCCATTTCAGGACCTTGTGATTTTGGAGGGCTGCAGTGAGCACTGGTAAGTGTGCATCACGTGTTTCTTGTGTTATGTCTCCCTCTAGAGTCAAAAGGTAGTAAGAGGGAGCCCCGGTGTAGCCTGGAGTGTAAATACCTGACCTCAGACGACTACAAGGATCTGCTGTGGACCACCCTGTCTGAATTCCCAGGTATACTTCTTTGACCTACTGCTTTCAACTAATAGTCATAATATTGCTAAACACAGTTGCTGTATTGCAGGGTACTGTGAAATAAAGTAGATTGTAAATTGTTCTGATTGATTAGACAGACTAGTAGAATATCTGAATAGATTGGTTGATGTATTAATGTTGGGCAGGTCTGCTGGTGACTCTGTGGGCCATCGATCGGCTGGGACGGAGGAAGACTATGGCACTGTGCTTCTTTGTCTTCTCTCTCTGCCTTGTGCCACTCTACGCTTGTGTAGGGAGGTAAGACCATCCATTACAAAATTACAAAGTATTACTTTTAGGATTCGTAATGCACTACTCTATGACAAACATCACACTGTGGTGGATCCACAACTGACAACACAATAACAGTGTTGTTGTTGTTGTTATTAACATTGTTGTTGTTGTCTGTGCTTCAGGACCTGGCTGACAGTATTGATATTCATCGCCAGGGCCTTCATCGCAGGAGGTTTCCAGGCTGCTTATGTCTACACCCCTGAGGTGAGGTCATAGGCCATGGAACCCCATGTACCCCATGGCTACATTATCGACTCAATAGAATGCCAGCACTTACTCTAAAAACAAAGCTGAAGTTACTCTGCCTTGATCACAGGTAGATGGATGTGGTAAAAGACTTCTTTCATATCGAACCAGATCAAACACTCTGTAGTTCTGCCTCTTCCTCTGTTATTGTATAACTATGTACTGAAGTAATTTATGGCTTAAAGATTATACTAAATCGCAGACGTTCGGTTTCTTTTCAGTTTTATTTCTTTGATAGATTTGTGACTAAACAAAGGGATAGTTATTTGGTTCATACTCTTCTTCCCCATTGGTTTTTAATAAGTATTACAGTGTCAATATGGTACAAAGTAAATGAAACTGTAAATAAAAATTATGCGTAACATGGACAGTCCCTTTTGCGTAAACGACATGAAGTGTCTGTCCTGAATGTTAATAAATGATGTATTCCCATGGTGTTCTCCTGACTCCTCAGGTATATCCAACAGCAACCAGAGCATTAGGTCTGGGCACTAGTAGTGGAATGGCCAGAGTGGGAGCCCTCATCACACCCTTTGTTGCACAGGTAAAATGGATAAAAAAGTTTAACACAACCAATATATAAAGAATATTTCCTTTGTACATAATGTGTACTGAAAGACATTCACGCCATCACAGAGATAATTATCCTACCCAGGCTGGTGATACTGTTTTCATTCCTCCCCCCTGTCCCACTGTCCTGCAGGTGATGTTGGAGTCTTCTTTGTACCTGACTCTGTCAGTGTACAGCATCTGCTGCCTGCTGGCTGCCATCGCCTCCTGTGCTCTGCCCATTGAAACCACTGGCCGGGGCCTCCAGGAGTCCAGCCACCGCGAGTGGGGCCAGGAGATGATGGGCCGGGCCCCTGCCAACAGCTCTGGGGGCATCCCACACTCCGACTCTGGGTCCCAGGAGGACTGAGCACAGGCAAGGGGGTGGTGGAGGAGGGATGCTGGAGTGGAAGAGAGAGTCAATGAAGGAGAGGGAAGCTAGGCAAACAGCCCTTGTCCATTCTCAACTCAAATGTGTCATAACTGGTTTGTATATAGGCACCACAGTGGCTTGAGAGAGAGCCTGCAAGCAAAATGTTATTCAAAAACATTTCTCTTTGATTTTAATTTTCAACCACTACCGCTGTCATGACTTTTGCCAATGTAGGACAAACACACTCTGAGTGAGACAGAGCTCAATCGATTATTCAGAGTATACACTGAGTGGTAGCAGGGAGAGAAACATAATTATATCTCACTATTAGAATTTCATATTGTGAGGGAGAAGAACAGCGAGATTGATAGTAACAGTGAGAGTGATAGAGAAAGACAGTGATAGAGGACATTGCTTTTTTGCAGTGTTTCTATTAAGAGAGCCTTAAAACAATGGTCCTACTCAGGTCCTACTACTCAGTTTTGGATAAGGGACACATTGAGGACGTTTGATAGAGATGTGATTGCAAGGGCCCCAAAAAGTCCATTATCTTTTGCAAAGCTATAATGAAAACAATGATTGCTATCTAATGATACAATAATTACCCACTCAACATAATCAAATCTGTACATCTGGGGTTGTCTGCAGATTCCTATCACCACGTTAACCATCCGCCACTGTAATCACCATGCTGTCAACAGACATTATGTTCTTCATAGAGGTGTGGGGTCACAAATCTCAGTTACACTTCAGTTTAGACACTTATATACTGAACAAAAATATAAACGCAACATGTAAAGGGTTGGTCCCATGTTTCATGAGCTGAAATAAAAGATCCCAGAAATGTTCCATACGCACAAAAAGCTTATTTCTCTCAACTGTTGTGCACAAATTTGTTTACATCCCTGTTAGTGAGCATTTCTCCTTTGCCAAGATAATCCATCCACCTGACAGGTGTGGCATATCAAGAAGCTGATTAAACCACATGATCATTACACAGGTGCACCTTGTGCTGGAGACAATAAAAGGCCTCTCTAAAATGTGCAGTTTTGTCACACAACACAATGCCACAGATGTCTCAAGTTTTGAGGGAGCGTGCAATTGGCATGCTGACTGCAAGAATGTCCACCAGAGGTGTCTCGGGGAAGCTCATCTGCGTGCTCGTCGTCCTTACCAGGGACTTGACCTGACTGCAGTTTGGCATCGTAACCGACTTCAGTGGGCAAATGTTCACCTTCGATGGCCACTGGCACGCTAGATAAGTGTGCTCTTCACAGATGAATCCTGGTTTCAACTGTACCGGGCTGATGGCAGACAGCGTGTATGGCGTTGTGTGGGCGAGCGGTTTGCTGATATCAACATTGTGAACAGAGTGCCCCATGGTGGCGGTGGGGTTATAGTATGGGCAGGCATAAGCTACGGACATTGAACACAATTGCATTTTATCAATGGCAATTTGAATGCACAGAGATAGCGTGACGAGATCCTGAGGCCCATTGTCGTGCCATTCATCCGCCGCCATCACCTCATGTTTCGGCATGATAATGCATGGCCCCATGTCGCAAGGATCTGTACACAATTCCTGGAAGCTTAAAATGTCCCAGTTATTCCATGGCCTGCATACTCACCAGATATGTCACCCATTTAGCATGTTTGGGATGCTCTGGATCGACATGTACGACAGCATGTTCCAGTTCCCGTCAATATCCAGCAACTTCGCACAGCCATTGAAGAGCAGTGGGACAACATTCCACAGGCCACAATCAACAGCCTAATCAACTCTATGCGAAGGAAATATGTCACACTGCATGAGGCAAATGTTGGTCACACCAGATACTGACTGGTTTTCTGATCCACGCCCCTACTTTGTTTTTAAGGTAACTGTGACCAACAAATACATATCTGTATTCCCAGTCATGTGAAATCCATAGATTAGGGCCTAATGAATTTATTTCAATTGACTGATTTCCTTATATGAATTGTAACTCAGTAAAACCTTTGAAATCGTTGCATGTTGCGTTTATATTTTTGTTCAGTGTAAATGAGGCAATCAAAATAATTATGTAAAGTCTCTCTGTGCAGCTGGCATAAGCATTCATTAGCACTCATATTCTAGTCTGTCTTGAGAAGGTCGTAATGTTATTTCTCATGATGACTATAGTTTATGTAAATTAGGAAAATTGCAGATGGGTACTGATGAAAGTTCATACCAGGTGTTATAATGTTCATAAATGCATTTTGAGGGTTTTATGTATATGCCATGAAACTGTGTTACTGAAATATTTGAACTGTACTATACTTGAATACTTGAACCTCTTAACGTAGTCACCCAAAGTTGTCAGTCTGGTACAGTAGTAATTACTCTACATGGGTGAAATCATTCAAAGAAAACAATCACATGGTTTTTCAGGGTACACCCCATGACAGCTTTTATAAACGGTATATAATGTACCAAAACCTGGGTTGGTTGTTGTTGTTTTTGTTTGTTGGTGTGGGGATGGTCTTTGTCCCCTTGTAAAAATAACACGTGAAACAAGGTGTTGTTAAAAATGGTAAAGAACCTTGCGCTTATCCAGCAAGCTGTCTCCTACATGCCTGCCTTTGCGATTTAGTGCTGCATTAAGTTTCTGTGCACAGATTCTTATCACTGGATGTAAATGTGTATGATACAATAATAAATTATGTTTCAAAGAAAGATAAAGAATGTTGGATTGTGGTGGTATTTATTTATTTATTCATTTTCAAACCTCGTAAGTTTTAGAACTCACGATGGTGTATTATTTTATGTTAATAAGATTACTAATAACATTTTAGTTTGATATTGCAGTCCTATTTGTGAGATTTGTTCATTACATTTTTGGAAAACATTTTATTGGTTCAATATGTATATCTTATCTATATATCTACAGTTGAAGTTGGAAGTTTACATACACTTAGGTTGGAGTCATTAAAACTCGTTTTTCAACCACTTCACACATTTCTTGTTAACAAACTATAGTTTTGGCAAGTCGGTTAGGACATCTACTTGTGCATGACACAAGTAATTTTTCCAACAATTGTTTACAGACAGATTATTTCACTTATAATTCACTGTATCACAATTCCAATGGGTCAGAAGTTTACATACACTAAGTTGACTGTGCCTTTAAACAGCTTGGAAAATTCCAGAAAGGCTAATTGACATCATTTGAGTCAATTGGAGGTGTACCTGTGGATGTATTTCAAGGCCTACCTTCAAACTCAGTGCCTCTTTGCCTGACATCATGGGAAAATCAAAAGAAACCAGCCAAGACCTCAGAAAAAATTGTAGACCTCCACAAGTCTGGTTCATCCTTGGGAGCAATTTCCAAACGCCTGAAGGTACCACGTTCATCTGTATAAACAATAGTATGCAAGTATAAACACCATGGAACCACGCAGCCGTCATACCGGGGCGGCAGGTAGCTTAGTGGGTAAGAGCGTTGTGCCAGTAACCGAAAGGTCGCTGGTTCTAATCCCGAGCCGACTAGGTGAAAAATCTGTCGATGTGCCCTTAAGCAAGGCACTTAACCCTAAATGCTCCTGTAAGTCGCTCTGGATAAGAGCGTCTGCTAAATGACTAAAATGTAAATGTAATACCGCTCAGGAAGGAGACGCGTTCTGTCTCCTAGAGATGAACGTACTTTGGTGCGAAAAGTGCAAATTAATCCCAGAACAACCGCAAAGGACCTTGTAAAGATGCTGGAGGAAACAGGTACAAAAGTATATATATCCACAGTAAAATTAGTCATATATTGACATAACCTGAAAGGCTGCTCAGCAAGGAAGACGCCACTGCTCCAAAACCGCCATAAAAAAGCCAGACTACGGTTTGCAACTGCACATGGGGACAAAGATCGTACTTTTTGGAGAAATGTCCTCTGGTCTGATGAAACAAAAATAGAACTGTTTGGCCATAATAACCATCGTTATGTTTGTAGGAAAAAGGGGATTGCCTACAAACCTGACTCAGTTACACCAGCTCTGTCAGGAGGAATGGGCCAAAATTCACCCAACTTATTGTGGGAAGCTTGTGGAAGGCTACCCGAAACGTTTGACCCAAGTTAAACAATTTAAAGGCAATGCTACCAAATACTAATTGAGTGTATGTAAACTTCTGACTCAATGGGAATGTGATGAAATAAATAAAAGCTGAAATTAATCATTCTCTCTACTATTATTCTGACATTTCACATTCTTAAAATAAAGTGGTGATCCTAACTGACCTAAGACAGGGAATTTTTACTAGGATTAAATGTCAGGAATTGTGAAAAACTGAGTTTAAATGTATTTACCTAAGGTGTATGTAAACTTCTGACTTCAGCTGTATATATTAACATCACTTTAACAACAATATAAAATCGTAACTTTTAAAAATAGATTTCATCGATTTACCTAATAGTTACGACATTCAATAAAAGCTTTCCTGATGGCTGGCATCTAACTATTTTAGAACTGACTGGTAGTCTTTGTGTTCCTAGTTAGCTGCTCTCAGGTTAATCAGGTACTTCACTATCTAAACTCTGATTTAGAGTTGTTCTCTTGCAAATATAAAATATCATCATTATCGTCTGAAGTGCCCAGGAGTGTCCTCCTATGCGGGTTCCTCTGCAAACCGTTGTGATGTTAAAATGGTCCCATACAGACATGTGAGTGATAATGATGCCACTGCTGTTTAGGTAAACCACTAATTTACAAATAAGACCTTGGCCCTGAAGATCCTAGCTGCCTCCTGGGCACAGCCTCGGTGGATGGTCAATCCGAACACTCCATGGCCATAGTTGTGGATCACCTGAAAACAGCACATTAATATCAGTGTTATGTCTATGTACTACTAATCTGGAGCCTACAGGGTGACTAACACTAATAGCAAGACAATAAATCTTGGTTACTGAAGAAGTAGTAACCAGTCTATTCTTGGTGGCTCACCTCAAACGTGGATGGTCCAGACTGCATGGTCTCCCTCTCCAATCAAACTTTACTGCGAACAGGCCTGAGCCCTGACCAGTCATCTACTATCCGGGCATGCTGAGGAGACGGGAGAGCCATGAATAAACCGGCAGGGAGGAGCTAGCTAATGTAGTTATTCTGTATCTGTACATGTATTCTGTCTACTCCATATCAACATAGGTGCTGGGATAACCCCTCTATTCAACATCTGTCAGACCAGGGACCGGTCTTGTTTCAGTAGTCTGTGACCTCTGACCTTGAGGCTGGGCTCCAGCTGGCAAGCCCCCTCCAAGATCTTCTTGTGGTCCTCAGAGTTGTTCCGCTCACTCCTGTTCCCCAGCTGGCAACACCCACCAACAACCACTGAACGACTCCTACAGAGACAAGGCATAAGTCTTGGGCTTTATTTCGCGACGCGGTTAGCTTTTAACAGCTAGGACCGCTATTTCTTGTACCGGAATCCCGCTTAACAGGTTGAAGCCTGCTTGACATAGCCGCTAAGCTACTAGCCATCAAGCTAACGAAGTTAGACCCAGATGAGTTTTGCAATGGAGCCCTCTTTGTCTGGATAAATAAATGAACGGTTCCAGTGCTGTAGGAGCTGTATCTACTACACTTTGTTTTGGGACAAACCGGATCACTCAGAGTTCCAATGAAGAAATTGTTTTCTTGCCGAGGATTATAGGCTTGAGGTGGCTTCATTGATCACGCAGGTCGCCAGCCTACGTAAGAAACTGGGGAAAACGCAGAGTGGAATGTTTACCTTTTCTACGCTGGTGTCTGGACTGCGTTCAAGCTTGTTGGATGCATCTCCGCCTTGTCGTTTGTCATTATCTGATGTTGCCCGGAGCCATCTGATAGCGGAGTCGAAGGAGCACAGCAAGAGGAGCATGGCAATCAACAATGGTGGCATGTCACGAGCCGTGGAAGCCGAAGACAGCGGCCTGCGGCAAAGCAGTCTACACTCCCAACGAGAGGCCTGGAGCAGATACAAACAACGAATAGTTTCGCCGTCCTGGAGCCTGATCTTCCTGCACCTTCGTCGCTGGGGGTACCTGTGTCTGCGGCCGCAGTGCCTACTCCTACAATTTCGAAGCCGACGTCGGCAAACTTCCGTCCCTGCTCTGGATCGAGTGGGGCTTCTCCATCTGTCGGAGGCCTGCACCAGGCACCAGGAGCAATGGGCTCAAGTTATCCTGCCTCTTGCCCGTCCATAAAGGGTTCTCCGAATCCTGTGAAGTGTGGGAGGGGGCGGATTTCCTCATCCTTCTCGCCAGCCATGATTTTGGGCAGCTTCATGGTAAGAAATGTGACTGTTCCTGGTGCAAAAACAATGTCCTATCCCGGAGCTCGAGTAAATTACATTACTAAGCTGCTCCCAAATGTACTACGTCAGGACATGGAAATCGATTCTATCGTAGTCCATGTGGGTTTTAATGACATTATGAAGGGTAGCTCTGAATAAATAAAAAGAAGAAGAAACTACACTATGAAACAAAGATAAATTACATAAAGAATGATAGTAAAAAGCTTTGGAGCGCCTTAAATGAAATTTTGGCAAAAAATGCAAACCCAGCTCCATCATTCATTGAATCAGATAGCTCATTCATCACAAAACCGACTGATATTGCCAACTACTTTAATGATTTTTTCATTGGCAAGATTAGCAAACTTAGGCATGACATGCCAGCAACAAACGCTGACATTCAAGTATATCTGACCAAATTATGAAAGACAAGCATTGTAATTTTGAATTCCTTAAAGTGAGTGTGGAAGAGGTGAAAAAGTATTGTTGTTGTAAGGTTCTGTATTTATTTTCTTAGTCAACCTTGTGTTCTTGAACGTAGCACTGTCTTTTATTTTTGTTCATTGATTTCACCTGTGTTTGTTACTCACCTGGTCTCATTAGCTCCTTATTTAGTTCAGTTCATTCTGTTTGTGCCTTGTGAGGTATTGTTCATTTTGACTCTACTAAACATTTTCCTAGCTCGTTTGTGAGAACCAGTTATAGCCTTCAGTCCTAGTTTTTGATTCTCCTGCCTGTTTGCCTACCTGTGTATGACCATTGCCTGCCTGTGACCCCTATTCCTGCCTTTTGCGAAGGCTAAATAAACACCTGCTCTGCGCGTGAATTGACACCTTTTTCTCCCTGAGTATTCATTACAGAATACCTCACCCAAAATACAGAATGGATTCAGCGGAGCTACAGCGGCGCCTAACCCAGCAAGAGGAGTGTATGGAGGAAATCTGCCATTTTCTCCGCCAGCCTATCCCTACTCCTCCGATGCCAGGTATCGTAACCCATAGCCCTCCTTCATTCATATCCATGCCTGGAAAATATGACGGTTCACCTGGGAAATGTCAGGGATTTCTGATGCAATGCAGCAAATACATTGAGCACAACCCCACTAACTTCGCCACCGACAAGAGCAAGGTGGATTTTGTTGTGTCCCTGTTATGATGAGTTTCTGGTATTGAGAAGTTCAGGATGCAAGAGAGTATGTTACACAGATGGAGATTGGATTCAGTCATTATTTAATGGTTACAATGTTTGATTCAATGACAGGGGGTACGGACATAGCCTCCTGCCATCTGAATGACTTCCATAGACAATCTCTCAGCTTATATACTGCCTTTCCTATCTACTTTTATCTTACCCAGCTGCTAACCATTATTGATTGTCACTCATCTACCACCATATCATGTGCCTCCTTGGTGTCGTGTGACACCCTAGCCAGGCCATTCCATCACGCACCCATCCTAAGATTAGCACCATTGGCCCCCAATCTATCTTGGCACACTGACCATCTATTCCTCACTCGTTACACCAATAACACATGGCATGTCCTTGTCCTGTGTCCCTCCTACAGCTTAGGAGTTTACACACATTAATGAATCCTTTATCACAAATCATCATAACAGTCCCTACTCACAGGCAAAGCCCTGGATTGGGCCACCGCCATATGGACTGCCAACAGCACAGAACTCGGATCCGAGAACCCATTTCCACACCCTCTTCAAAGAGGTATTCGATCACTCTCCTTCCGGTCGTCCTATAGGAGACCTCCTCATTGAACTTCAACAAGGACGCAATTCAGCTGCCGAGTATGCCCTCGAGTTCCGCACCATGGCTTCAGGGAGTGGATGGACTGTGCTATTGACTTACTCCCTGGAGTATCCCCACCGACGGGCCGTGTTTACCCCCTATCTGTCCCGGAAAATGAGGCAATGGAGAACTACATTGATGAAGCACTCAAACGGTTTCATTCGTCCTTCTTCTTCCCCAGCTGCATCCAGCTTCTTCTTCGTTGGAAAAAATGGACGGTGGTCCCCGTCCATGTATTGATTACCGTTCCCTAAATGACGTAACAGGTCAAGAACCGTTTCCCTCTTTCTCTGATCCCAGCGACCCTTGAACAAGTGGGCCGTGCCATCATCTATACAAAACTCGACCTGCGAAGTGCATATAACCTTATCCGTATACGTGAAGGCAACGAATGGAAGACTGCCTTTATCACCGCATGAGGGCACTATGAATACCTGGTCATGCCCTACGGCCTTACTAACGCCCCCGCCGTCTTCCAATCCTTTATGAATGAGGTTTTCCAGGATATGATCAACCGCTTTCTCATCGTCTACATTGATGACATCCTGATTTACTCCCACTCCCTGAAGGAACACATACAGCATGTACAAAATGTTCTTCAACGGCTCCTTGACCATAACCTTTATGTGAAGACTGAAAAGAGCACCTTCCATGTAACCTCTGTAAACTTCCTCGGTTTCGTACTGACACCTGGCGGGGTCAGCATGGATGAGAACAAAGTCACCGCCGTCAGTAACTGGCCCAAACCCACCACCGTTAAGGAACTCCAACGTTTCATTGGGTTCTCCAACTTCTATCGCCGGTTCATTCGTTCATTCAAAAGACCCAGACCCTTCAATGGACTGATACCGCCCTGACTGCTTTCAACAACTTGAAACACCTCTTCACCTCAGCTCCTGTCCTTTGCCGACCTGATCCGACCCTTCCTTTCACCCTGGAGGTGGTTGCCTCCGAAGTAGGAGTAGGAGCCATACTCTCTCAGCGAGTGGGAACACCTCCAAAATCACATCCCTGTGCCTTCTTCTCCAGGAAGTTATCCGCTGCTGAGAGGAATTACGATGTGGGGAACAGAGAACTCCTCGCCATCAAGCTGGCCCTCGAGAAGTGGCGCCACTGGTTGGAGGGCGCACAACACCCCTTTCTCATCCTAACAGATCATTGTAATCTGGAACATATCAGAGGGGCCAAGAGGTTAAACTCCAGACAAGCCCGCTGGGCTCTCTTCTTCACACGCTTCCATTTTCATGTTACTTACATTCCTGAAAAGAAAAACGTAAAAGCTGATGCTCTCTCCTGCCAGTTTGACCTTCCGACCAGTAACACAGACCCTACACCCATTCTTCCTTCCTCTTGCATTATGGGACCGGTACAGTGGGAGGTTCACTCTGCTATACAAAAAGCCCCAACCTCAGACCCAGCTCCTCCTGAGACACCAGCTGGGAAGAGTTATGTACCAGCAGCTGTTAGACCCCAACTGATGCAATGGTGTCACACGTCCTTGGGGTCAGGACATCCGGGCATTACACGAACCACCGAACTTCTAGCCCGTAAATTCTGGTGGTCCTCACTGGCATCCGATGTAAGGGATTACGTACTCTCCTGTCCAGTCTGCGCCCAAACCAAAAGCCCTCGTCATCTCCCTTCCGGTAAGCTTCAACCTTTGCCAATCCCTCACAGACCCTGGTCCCACATAGCTGTTGACTTCATCACAGACCTTCCTGAATCCTCTGGTAACACCACCATCCGTGTCATAGTAGACCGTTTTTCAAAAATGTGTCATCTGGTTCCTCTTCCTCATTTACCTAACGACATAGAATTGGCTGAGTGTATGTTCCAGCAGGTGTTCCGTCTGTATGGGATTCCGGAGGACATCGTCTCTGACCGCGGGCCCCAGTTTGTCTCCCGGGTGTGGCGAGCCTTCTGTGACCAACTGGGGGTCGCCCTCAGCCTCTCCTCTGGGTACCATCCCCAGACCAACGGGCAGACGGAACGCCTGAACCAAGAAATAGGGAAGTAACTCCTCCAACAATGTTCTGCCTCTCCACACGACTGGAGTCGGTATATGGCCTGGGCCGAATACGCTCAGAACTCACTCATGCATTCATCCCTTCGCCTTACTCTGTTTCAGTGTGTACTTGGTTACCAACCCCCCATGTTTCCCTGGGAGGCGGAGCCTGGTACTGTCCCAGCTGTCAATGACTGGTTTTGGCATAGTGAGTGGGTATGGGAGACCGCTCACTGGCATCTGCAGGAAGCCTCTAATACCCAGAAACGCTTTTCCGACAGACGCCGCCGACCTATGCCACTCTTTCACCCCGGACAGCGTGTGTGGCTCTCTACCAGAGACCAGCTCCACCTCCCTTGCAAAAAGTTTTGTCTTTGTTTCATTGATCCCTTCAAGATAACCCACTGCATCAACCCTGTCACGTACCGCCTCCAGTTACCCCTTCAGTATAAAATCTCCTCGTCCTTCCATGTGTCTCTGTTAAAACCGGTCACCTACAGTCCTCTTCATCCTCCAGTCTCAACCCGCAGTGTGCCCCCACCGTTGGACGTCGGAGGGGAACCTGCCTACGCCATTCAGGCCATCCTTGATTCCAAACGCCTGAGAGGTCGCATCCACTATCTAGTGGACTGGGAAGGTTATGGGCCTGAAGACTGGTCCTGGTTTCCCGACCAGGACATCCTCAACCCAGAGATGATTCAGTCATTCCACCGTAACCGTCCGGATTGTCCCGCTCCCCGACCTCGGGGTCGACCCCTGAACAGACCCACTGGACATCAGCCTCGACGCAGAACGTCGGGTCAGTCCACGACCTTGTCGAACCAGCCTGCCGGACCTCGCCCTCGAGGTAGGCGGCCGCCTCGGCTCCCCCGCTCGCCCGCTCCACCCTCCGGTGCCGTTGGGTTGTCAAGAGCCTCCCTTGTCTATCAACAATGACAAGCCACCGGGGTCTGACAACTTGGGTGGAAAATTACTGCGGATAATAGCAGGCGATATTGCCACTCCTATTTGCCATATTTTCAATTTAAGCCTACTAGAAAGTGGGTGCCCCAAGGCCTGGAGGGAAGCAAAAGTAATTCCGCTACCTAAGAATAGTAAAGCCTCCTTTACTGGCTCAAATAGCTGACCAATCAGCCTGTTACCAACCCTTAGTAAACTTTTGGAAAAAAGGTTTTTAAAAAGAGTAAAGCCAGTGTGTCTATGTATGCGGATGACTCAACACTATACACATCAGCTACTACTGCGACTGAAATGACTGCAACACTTAACAAAGAGCTGCAGTTAGTTTCAGAGTGGATGGCAAGGAATAAGTTAGTCCTAAATATTTCTAAAACTAAAAGCATTGTATTTGGGACAAATCATTCACTAAACCCTAAACCTCAACTAAATCTTGTAATAAATAATGTGGAAATTGAGCAATATGAGGTGACTAAACTGCCTGGAGTAACCCTGGATTGTAAACTGTCATGGTCAAAACATATTGATACATGTCACACTCGTCGGGAACAGAGGAGGACCAAGGCGCAGCGTTGAATGCGAACATATTTATTTAATTAATGATCACACGATCAAAAACAACAAAACGATGACGTGACAGTCAATGGTCAAACACAAACCAACACGAACAAGAAACCACAATGAATGAATGCCTAACGGCTACCTAAGTATGACTCCCAATCAGAGACAACGAGCTACAGCCGTCTCCGATTGGGAGCCACCCTGGCCAACATAGATATACAACAACTAGAACCAACACACATGAAAACTCACACCCTGGCTCAACATACTAGAGTCCCCAGAGCCAAGGCGTGACAGTACCCCCCCCTAAAGGCGCGGACTCCGACCGCGCCAACCAAATACCACAGGGGAGGGACCGGGTGGGCACTCCGCCTTGGCGGCGGATCCGGCTCCGGGCATGATCCCCACTCGCTCTCTAACCCCCCAAAGTACCCCTGGTCCGGTCTGGCCCTGCTGACCGGAGCTGGACTGCACACTGGTGGAGCGGATTGCTCTAGCTCCGGCGTGAAGCAGCTGACCCGTGCTGAACCAGGCACCAGTGGAACAGGCACGGGCTGTGCCGGACTGACGACGCACACCACTGGCTTGGTGTGGGGAGCAGGAACGGCCCGAGCCGGGCTGACGAAACGCACCCCTGACTTGGTGCGGGGAGCAGGAGCGGGCCGAACCGGGCTGACGAAACGCACCACTGACTTGGTGCGGGGAGCAGGAACGGGCCGAGCCGGGCTGACGAAGCGCACCACTGACTTGGTGCGGGGAGCAGGAACGGGCCGAGCCGGGCTGACGAAGCGCACCACTGAATTGGTGCGGGTTGCAGGAACGGGCCGAGCCGGGCTGACGAAGCGCACCACTGACTTGGTGCGGGGAGCAGGAACGGGCCGAGCCGGGCTGACGAAGCGCACCACTGACTTGGTGCGGGGAGCAGGAACGGGCCGAGCCGGGCTGACGAAGCGCACCACTGACTTGGTGCGGGGAGCAGGAACGGGCCGAGCCGTACTGGGGACACACACCACTGGTCCTACGCAGGGATCTGGAATGGGCCGGACCGGACTGGTAACACACCCCAGTACCTCTCGCCGTGCCTCTACACCTTCCATCCCCTCTTCGACCAGTGGCCCCCGTAACCTGGCGGCCTCCTCTGCCAACCCGCTGGGCCGCTCTGCCGCGGTCTCCTGCTGGCCCGTCGTCCACGGCGTTAGCCCCCCCCTAAAAAAATTCTGGGTGTCTCTCCTACCCGTGGACCAGGTCTCCATGTCCCTCGCCAGCCTTTCGCCCTTCTGCTTCCATGTCAAGCCCTTCTCTTCCTCACCCGGCTTGACCCAGTCGAGGAGGCGAAGGAGATCTGCTAGAGATCTCCCTGGCGATGGCTCCTGGACACGCTGCTTGGTCCAGTCTTGGTGGTTTCTTCTGTCACGCTCGTCGGGAACCGAGGAGGACCAAGGCGCAGCGTTGAATGCGAACATATTTATTTAATTAATGATCACACAATCAAAAACAACAAAACGATGACGTGACAGTCAATGGTCAAACACAAACCAACACGAACAAGAAACCACAATGAATGAATGCCTAACGGCTACCTAAGTATGACTCCCAATCAGAGACAACGAGCTACAGCCGTCTCTGATTGGGAGCCACCCTGGCCAACATAGATATACACCAACTAGAACCAACACACATGAAAACTCACACCCTGGCTCAACATACTAGAGTCCCCAGAGCCAGGGCGTGACAATACAACAGTAGCTAAGATGGGGAGAAGTCTGTCCATAATAAAGCGCTGCTCTACCTTCTTAACAGCACTATCAACAAGGCAGGTCCTACAGGCCCTAGTTTTATCGCACCTGGACTACTGTTCAGTCGTGTGGTCAGGTGCCACAAAAAGGGACGGGGCAGCACGGCTGGCCCTTGGATGTACACAGAGAGCTAACATTAATAATATGCATGTCAATCTCTCCTGACTCAAAGTGGAGGAGAGATTGACTTCATCACTACTTGTATTTATGAGCGGTATTGACATGTTGAATGCACCGAGCTGTCTGTTTGAACTACTGGCGCACAGCTTGGACACCCATGCATACCCCACAAGACATGCCACAAGTGGTCTCTTCACAGTCCCCGAGTCCAGAACAGACTATGGGAGGCGCACAGTACGACATAGAGCCATGACTACATGGAACTCTATTCCACATCAAGTAACTGATGCAAGCAGTGAAATGTGATTTAAAAAACAGATAAAAATACACCTGTGAAGCAACACATACATAGGCACAGACACATGCATACACACACACGATAACATACGCAATATACACACACGTACACATGGGTTTTGTATTGTAGATATGTGGTGGAGTAGGGGCCTGAGGGTACACAGTGTGTTGTGAAATCTGTGAATGTATTGTACTGTTTTAAAAATGGTATAACTGCCTTAATTTTGCTGGACCCCAGGAAAAGTAGGTCTGTTCAGTAATTACAAAAGGAACATGGATGATTGTATTCCTCTTAATCTGTCTGTGTTGCAGATGGATGCTCCATGGCTGAAGCATTGCATCCTCACCCACAATTTCACCACTGGAACCTATAACTCACCATGTAAACACAATTACTGGGGATCCATAATAAATGGGGATACATAATAAATACAAATACAAGGAGCTGAATACTTAGGCAAAAGTATACTTTGCTTTGACGCTGTAATTATATGCATCAACTCGAAAAATGTGTAATAACTGCTTTATTGACACCTGCAGTAGGTGAAGTTGCGGATCTTTATCCACTTTACCCTGATATAATACATGGTGAGTAATAGGTTCCAGTGGTGAAATTGTGGGTGAGGATCCAATGCTTCAGCCATGGAGCATCCACCTGCAACACAGACAGATTAAGAGGAATACGATCAGCCATGTTCCTTTTGTAATTACTGAACAGACCTTTTAACCTTTGCACTCTGACCTTCAGTATGAGCAGCTCTCTGTCACGGTTTCGGCCGAGGCTGCTCCTCCTCCTTGTTCGGGCAGGCTTCGGCGGTCGTCGTCTCCGGAGTACTAGCTGCCACCGTTCTATGTTTCATGTTCGTTTGGTTTTGTCTGTTTGTAACACCTGTCCCTTGTTTGTGTTGGATTGTGTTCCCTATTTAGTTTCGTTTATTCGGGTCAGGTGTTATGTGTGATTGTTATTGTCAGCTTGCCTCCGAGGAGTTTTCTCTCTCGTTGTTGTTATTTCGAGAGTTCGCACTGCGTGCGCTTTTCCCTTGTTTTCCGCACTGTGTGTTGTGCGTAATTGTTCGTGCCGCCCGGTTGGGTTGGCGACTCATTCCTGTTTTGGAAAGTACTAAAAGTCTGTTGAAGAACATCCTTGTCCCTGCGCTTGATTCCCTTCACTACATCCACACGCAACACTCTGACAGAATCACACATCATCCATGGAATCAGCAGGAGCGACCGCGCCAACAGCAAGCCTGGAGGAACGTCTTCGTGGACAGGAGGACGGATTCACCAGGTCTGTCATGCCCTGGAGGGGGTGATGAACACTCTCCACCGATGGGAAACCAGCGGGGTACCCACGACCCCACCTGCCGAACCATCCCCATCGGTCAGTCTTCCTGTCCCATCTCCGGAACCCAGTGGGATTCGGCTCTCGCTCCCGAGGGCGTACGACGGCTCCGCTGCCGGGTGTCAAGGGTTCCTGCTGCAAGTGGAGCTCTACCTCGCCACCGTACACCCGGCGCCCTCGGGACACGAGAGCGTCTCAGCCCTCATCTCCTGTCTCACCGGCAAGGCGTTGGAGTGGGCCAACGCCGAATGGAGGAGAATGGACGCCGCTACCACTACCTATGCGGAGTTCTCCCGCCGCTTCCGTGCTGTGTTTGACCATCCACCGGAAGGGAAGGCGGCGGGGGAGCGTCTGTTCTACCTCCGACAGGGGATGAGGAGCGCCCAGGACTTTGCCTTGGAATTCCGGACTCTAGCGGCCGATGCAGGGTGGAATGAGCGGGCCCTTATAGACCACTTCCGTTGCAGCCTCCGGGAGGAGGTCCAGCGAGAGTTGGCGTGCAGGGACACCTCGTTGACGTTTGACCAACTTGTCGACATGGCCATTCGGCTGGATACCCTGCTCGCCAACCGTGGACGTCCCGGGTGGGGTTCGCCCATTCCACTCTCCAGCACCTCCGAGCCGAGCCCTATGGAGCTCGGGGGTGCTGGCGCTAGAGAACGGAGGAGTAGGAACCCGAGGGGGGCCGTTCCCTGCACTAACTGTGGCCGTGGAGGGCACACCGCGGCTAGGTGTTGGGGAGGGTCCCCCGGTGGAGGAGAAGGCAGGTCAGGCATTGGGGGGTCCCCCCAGGTGAGTAGGCGCCCTACTTACCCAGAGCTTTCTGTCGTTCACCTAACCTTGCCTGTTTGTTTTCCACAGGTTGCACCTCGTTCCCAGCATAAGAAGCTGGTAGATTCAGGCGCAGCTGGGAATTTTGTAGATCGCCAGTTTTGTATAGATTTAGGGATTCCCCTCCTTCCAGTTGATAAGCCTTTCCCTGTTCATGCCCTAGATAGCCGTCCGTTAGGGTCTGGGTTGATTAGGGAGGTCACAGCACCCCTTAAAATGATGGCGCAGGAGGGTCATGAGGAGACGATTCAGCTCTATCTGATTGACTCTCCTGCGTATCCGGTAGTGCTGGGCCTTCCCTGGTTGATGACCCATGACCCTACTATTATGTGGCGAGAGAAAGCTCTTAAAGGGTGGTCTGCCCAGTGTGAGGGGCGGTGTCTGGGTGTTTCCATAGGGGCGACCTCGGTGGAAAGTCCGAATCTAATGCCAGCACTGCATATTCCCCCCGAGTATGAGGATTTGAAACTGGTGTTTAGTAAAACCAGGGCGGCGCAGCTGCCGCCTCATAGACAGGGGGATTGTGCGATAGATCTCCAGTCAGGAGCAGCTCTCCCGCGGAGCCATGTGTATCCCTTGTCTCAAGAGGAGAGGAAGGCAATGGAGACGTACATCGCTGAGTCTCTGAGACAGGGATACATACGGGCCTCCACTTCACCCGCTTCCTCGAGTTTCTTTTTTGTGAAGAAAAAGGATGGAGGTCTGCGCCCGTGTATTGATTACCGCGGTCTCAATCAGATTACGGTGAAGTACAGCTATCCACTTCCTCTGATTGCGACTATGACGGAGTCATTGCACGGTGCGCAGTTCTTTACAAAATTGGATCTCAGGAGCGCATATAACTTGGTGCGCATTAGAGAGGGCGATGAATGGAAGACAGCGTTTAGCACGACTTCCGGACACTACGAGTATCTAGTCATGCCATATGGGTTAATGAATGCTCCCTCAGTCTTCCAATCCTTCGTCGATGAGATTTTCCGGGACATGCAGGGACAGGGAGTAGTCGTGTACATCGACGATATTCTGGTGTACAGTCCTACCCGAGCAGAGCATGTAGCCCTGGTGCGCCGAGTATTGAGGAGGCTGTTGGAGCATGACCTATATGTCAAGGCAGAGAAATGTCTGTTTTTTCAGAAGTCGGTCTCCTTTCTGGGTTATCAGTTGTCTGCGTCAGGGGTGAAGATGGAGGTAGACCGGGTGTCAGCTGTGCGTAATTGGCAGACCCCAACCACTGTGAAGGAGGTGCAACAGTTCTTGGGTTTTGCAAATTATTACCGGAGGTTTATCCGGGGTTTTGGACAGGTGGCAGCTCCCATAACGTCTCTGTTGAAGGGGGGTCCGGTGCGCTTGCGGTGGTCAGCTGAGGCGGACAGGGCTTTTGGGAAACTGAAGGACCTGTTTACCTCGGCGCCGGTGTTGGCGCATCCGGATCCCTCTTTACCTTTCCAGGTAGAGGTGGACGCGTCAGAGGCCGGTATAGGGGCCGTTCTTTCCCAACGTTCTGGCACACCACCTAAACTCCGTCCCTGTGCGTTTTATTCTAAAAAGCTCAGTCCGGCGGAGCGGAATTATGACGTAGGAGACAGGGAGCTGTTAGCCGTGGTACAGGCCCTAAAGGTGTGGCGGCATTGGCTCGAGGGGGCTCAACACCCTTTCCTCATTCTAACTGACCATCGTAACCTGGAATACATCCGGGCAGCTAGGAGACTGAATCCTCGCCAGGCCCGCTGGACTATGTTTCTAGCCCGGTTTGTGTTTAAAATCACTTACATCCCTGGGTCCCAGAACGGGAAGGCAGATGCTCTGTCTCGGTGGTATGACGCGGAGGAGAGGTCCGTTGAGCCCACGCCCATACTACCAGAGTCTTGTCTGGTTGCACCGGTGGTGTGGGAGGTTGATGCCGAGATCGAGCGGGCGTTACGCACCGACCCAAGTCCTCCACAGTGTCCAGTGGGTCGGACGTACGTTCCGCTCGAGGTACGCGATCGCCTCATTTGTTGGGCTCATACGTCCCCCTCCTCTGGCCATCCGGGTATCGGCCGGACAGTGCACTGCCTTAGCACGAAGTACTGGTGGCCAACGTTAGCTAGGGATGTGAGGATTTATGTCTCCTCCTGTTCGGTGTGTGCCCAGTGTAAGGCGCCCAGACATTTGCCCAGGGGTAAGCTACAACCCCTGCCTATTCCACAACGACCCTGGTCCCACCTCTCGGTGGATTTTGTTACCGACCTTCCCCCCTCACAGGGGAATACTACCATCCTGGTCGTTGTGGATCGGTTCTCGAAGGCCTGTCGTCTCCTTCCCATGCCGGGTCTACCCACTGCCCTACAGACCGCTGAGGCTCTGTTTACCCATGTCTTCCGGCATTACGGGGTACCCGAGGATATAGTGTCTGACCGAGGCCCCCAGTTCACCTCCAGAGTGTGGAGAGCGTTTATGGAACGGTTGGGGGTTTCGGTAAGCCTTACCTCGGGTTACCACCCGGAGAGTAATGGGCAGGTTGAACGTGTTAACCAGGAGGTGGGTAGGTTTCTGAGGTCTTATTGCCAGGGCCGGCCGGAGGAGTGGGCGAGATACGTTCCGTGGGCCGAAATGGCACAGAACTCTCTCCGCCACTCCTCCACCCAACTAACCCCTTTCCAGTGTGTGTTAGGGTACCAGCCGGTTCTGGCACCTTGGCACGAGAGCCAGATCGAGGCCCCTGCGGTGGATGAATGGGTACGGCGCTCGGAGGAAACATGGAACGCTGCCCACGTACATCTGCAGCGGGCCATCCGTCGGCAGAAAACGAGCGCCGATCTCCACCGCAGTGAGGGGCCTGTGTACGCACCTGGAGATCGAGTCTGGCTCTCGACCAGAAACCTGCCCCTCCGCCTGCCCTGCCGGAAGCTGGGTCGGCGGTTTGTGGGGCCATTCAAAGTCCTGAGGAGGTTGAACGAGGTGTGTTACAGGTTAGAACTGCCTATTGACTATAGGAATATTAACCCCTCGTTCCATGTGTCTCTCCTCAGGCCGGTGGTAGCTGGTCCACTCCAGGAGTATGAGATAGAGGAGACTCCTCCGCCCCCGTTGGACATCGAGGGGGCTCCGGCGTACACTGTGAGGTCCATCCTTGATTCGAGACGCCGGATGGGGGGTCTTCAATATCTCGTGGAGTGGGAGGGGTACGGCCCGGAGGAGCGGTGCTGGGTGCCAAGGAGGGACATATTGGACCAGTCCCTGCTGACCGAGTTCCATCGGGGTCATCCTGCGCGCCCTGCTCCGCGTCGTCCGGGTCGTCCCCGAGCCCCGGGTCGGCGCACGGCTGGAGCCGCGCGTCAAGGGGGGGGTACTGTCACGGTTTCGGCCGAGGCTGCTCCTCCTCCTTGTTCGGGCAGGCTTCGGCGGTCGTCGTCTCCGGAGTACTAGCTGCCACCGTTCTATGTTTCATGTTCGTTTGGTTTTGTCTGTTTGTAACACCTGTCCCTTGTTTGTGTTGGATTGTGTTCCCTATTTAGTTTTGTTTATTCGGGTCAGGTGTTATGTGTGATTGTTATTGTCAGCTTGCCTCCGAGGAGTTTTCTCTCTCGTTTGTTGTTATTTCGAGAGTTTGCACTGCGTGCGCTTTTCCCTTGTTTTCCGCACTGTGTGTTGTGCGTAATTGTTCGTGCCGCCCGGTTGGGTTGGCGACTCATTCCTGTTTTGGAAAGTACTAAAAGTCTGTTGAAGAACATCCTTGTCCCTGCGCTTGATTCCCTTCACTACATCCACACGCAACACTCTGACACTCTCTGAGCATGAATACACTGTACTGTGTAAGGCACTCCCATTGGGTAAGGAAAACACATGCGTGGATTAGATGGAAATGAAATAAGCATAGTAAAATTACTGTCATCTGGACAAAAGAGGCCTAGAATGAGAGCCTTCAAAAATACAGCACCATCTATCTTTATCCTCCTTGTAAGGTGGGAGTCTTAGCACAATCCAAACTTGCACTGTTCATTATATTAGTTCAGAACGCTCACCTCTTTTTACCTCTGGTAAAATGTCACCCCTCTCTTCTGTAACCTAGAAACATATACAGTTGAAGTCGGAAGTTTACATACACTTAGGTTGGAGTCATTAAAACTCGTTTTTCAACCACTCCACAAATTTCTTGTTAACAAACTATAGTTTTGGCAAGTCGGTTAGGGCATCTACTTTGTGCATGACACAAGTAATTTTTCCAACAATTGTTTACAGACAGATTATTTCACTTATAATTCACTGTATCCCAATTCCAGTGGGTCAGAAGTTTACATACACTAAGTTGACTGTGCCTTTAAACAGCTTGGAAAATTCCAGAAAATGATGTCATGGCTTTAGAAGGTTCTGATAGGCTAATTGACATCATTTGAGTCAATTGGAGGTGTACCTGTGGATGTATTTCAAGGCCTACCTTCAAACTCAGTGCCTCTTTGCTTGACATCATGGGAAAATCAAAAGAAATCAGCCAAGACCTCAGAAAAAGAATTGTAAACCTCCACAAGTCTGGTTCATCCTTGGGAGCAATTTCCAAACGCCTGAAGGTACCACGTTCATCTGTACAAACAATAGTACGCAAGTATAAACACCATGGGACCACGCAGCCATCATACCGCTCAGGAAGGAGACGCGTTCTGTCTCCTAGAGATGAACGTACTTTGGTGCGAAAAGTGCAAATCAATCCCAGAACAACAGCAAAGGACCCTGTGAAGATGCTGGAGGAAACAGGTACAAAAGTATCTATATCCACAGTAACACGAGTCCTATATCGACATAACCTGAAAGGCCGCTCAGCAAGGAAGAAGCCACTGCTCCAAAACCGTCATAAAAAAAGCCAGACTACGGTTGCAACTGCACATGGGGACAAAGATCGTACTTTTTGGAGAAATGTCCTCTGGTCTGATGAAACAAAAATAGAACTGTTTGGCCATAATGACCATTGTAATGTTTGGAGGAAAAGGGGGGTTGCTTGCAAGCCGAAGAACACCATCCCAACCGTGAAGCACGGGGTGGCAGCATCATGCTGTGGGGGTGCTTTGCTGCAGGAGGGACTGGTGCACTTCACAAAATAGATGGCATCATGAGGAAGGACATTTATGTGGATATACATTTACATTTACGTCATTTAGCAGACGCTCTTATCCAGAGCGACTTACAAATTGGTGCATTCACCTTATAGCCAGTGGGATAACCACTTTACAATATGTTTTTTTTTTTCTTTCTTTGGGGTGGGGTAAGGGGGGGTAGAAGGATTACTTTATCCGATCCCAGGTATTCCTTAAAGAGGTGGGGTTTCAAGTGTCTCCGGAAGGTGGTGAGTGACTCCGCTGTCCTGGCGTCGTGAGAGAGCTTGTTCCACCATTGGGGTGCCAGAGCAGCGAACAGTTTTGACTGGGCTGAGCGGGAACTGTGCTTCCGCAGAGGTAGGGGGGCCAGCAGGCCAGAGGTGGATGAACGCAATGCCCTCGTTTGGGTGTAGGGACTAATCAGAGCCTGAAGGTACGGAGGTGCCGTTCCCCTCACAGCTCCGTAGGCAAGCACCATGGTCTTGTAGCAGATGCGAGCTTCAACTGGAAGCCAGTGGAGTGGGCGGAGGAGCGGGGTGACGTGAGAGAACTTGGAAAGGTTGAACAACAGACGGGCTGCGCCATTCTGGATGAGTGGTAGGGGTTTAATGGCACAGGCAGGGAGCCCAGCCAACAGCGAGTTGCAGTAATCCAGACGGGAGATGACAAGTGCCTGGATTAGGACCTGTGCCGCTTCCTGTGTAAGGCAGGGTCGTACTCTCCGAATGTTGTAGAGCATGAACCTACAGGATCGGGTCACCGCCTTGATGTTAGCAGAGAACGACAGGGTGTTGTCCAGGGTCACGCCAAGGCTCTTCGCACTCTGGGAGGAGGACACAACGGAGTTGTCAACTGTGATGGCGAGATCATGGAACGGGCAGTCCTTCCCCGGGAGGAAGAGCAGCTCCGTCTTGCCGAGGTTCAGCTTGAGGTGGTGATCCGTCATCCACACTGATATGTCTGCCAGACATGCAGAGATGCGATTCGCCACCTGGTTATCAGAAAGGGGAAAGGAGAAGATTAGTTGTGTGTCGTCTGCGTAGCAATGATAGGAGAGGCCATGTGAGGATATGACAGAGCCAAGTGAGTTGGTGTATAGCGAGAATAGGAGAGGGCCTAGAACTGAGCCCTGGGGGACACCAGTGGTGAGAGCACGTGGTGCGGAGACAGATTCTCGCCACGCCACTTGGTAGGAGCGACCGGTCAGGTAGGACGCAATCCAAGAGTGAGCCGCGCCGGAGATGCCCAACTCGGAGAGGGTGGAGAGGAGGATCTGATGGTTCACAATATCAAAGGCAGCAGACAGGTCTAGAAGGACAAGAGCAGAGGAGAGAGAGTTAGCCTTAGCAGTGCGGAGAGCCTCCGTGACACAGAGAAGAGCAGTCTCAGTTGAATGACCAGTCTTATGTGAGAAGCAACATCTCAAGACATCAGTCAGGAAGTTAAAGCTTGATCACAAATGGGTCTTCCAAATGGACAATGACCCCAAGCATACTTCCAAAGTTGTGGCAAAATGGCTTAAGGACAACAAAGTCAAGGATTTGGAGTGGCCATCACAAAGCCCTGACCTCATTCCAATAGAACATTTGTGGGCAGAACTGAAAAAGCATGTGCAAGCAAGGAGGCCTACAAACCTGACTCAGTTACACCAGCTCTGTCAGGAGGAATGGGCCAAAATTCACCCAACTTATTGTGGGAAGCTTGTGGAAGGCTACCTGAAACATTTGACCCAAATTAAACAATTTAAAGGCAATGCTACCAAATACTAATTGAGTGTATGTAAACTTCTGACCCACTGGGAATGTGATGATAGAAATAAAAGCTGAAATAAATCATTCTCTCTACTATTATTCTGACATTTCACATTCTTAAAATAAACTGGTGATCCTAACTGACCTAAAACAGGGAATTTTTCTAGGATTAAATGTCAGGAATTGTGAAAAACTGAGTTTAAATGTATTTGGCTAAGGTGTATGTAAACTTCCGACTTCAACTGTACCACGGCTAAGGGCTGTGTCCAGGCACTCCGCGTCCAGGCATTCTGCATTGCGTCGTGGGTAAGACCAGCCCTTAGCCATGGTGTATTGGCAATATACCACACCCCCTCTGGCCTTATTGCTTAAATATGCCACACCTCCTCGGGTCTTATTGCTTAATTATAACAGCTTAAAATGAAAAAAACTAGACCTTGCCTCCATGTGAATGATGAGGACTGAAAAATGAAAAAAACTAAACCTTGCCTCCATGTGAATGATGAGGCCTGAAGAAAGAAGAAAGCCAAGAAGAAATCCCTCTCACGTTTCCTGGACATTGCCCTTGTCGTAGAGGTATGGCTGCCAGAATCCTGAAGCTGTCTGCATACACCTCGATGGTCAGTGGACTGACTGACTCTAGAGTGGTGCTGCTTATAGATTCTCTGAGCCGTGGACAGGCCACTGACGCCAGCTCTGATCACTGCCACGAGTGTGTCTGGAGATAACAAACACAGCAGTTGTTGATTGTTGTTGCTGCTTTTGTTATTATTATTTTTCTTTAAAAAATATGATTGGCCTCCATTCTGTGTGACTGGCTTGGTCCTGCTCAGGATCTGCTACCATTCCATATACCTTTGAATAATGTAAACATTTCCATGTCCTCGAGTGTACCTGACCCTCTGACCCATCTAACTGTATGAAGTAACCTGAAATTGTACATCGTGTCATGTGTAATAACTGAAATATAACAACGTTGCAAAAATCAGAATATAAATATCTATTTAAAAAACACCAAAAAAAACAGCAGTTAGATAAAAAAAACATTATGCAAAAGATTATAAACTTTCAGCGGGTTGTGAGGGTATGTGTAGTTGCATTACATGAACTGTAGCTACAATGTTATTTATTATTTTTAACCGACAGGCTAAGTGAAATACACAGTTTGAAATGGAAGAGATTCTGTCATTATGTAGGTATGTATTTGACAGATTTTGGTAGCCTAGCCAGAATGTTTGAACTCAGCATCACTGTCTGGTTGGCTGGCAGCAGCTGACTAGCATAAGATCGCATCCGCTGGTGGAAGCGGTTTTGTGCAGGCTAGTAGTGAGAAAGCCGCAACATGGGGAATGATATGTGCATGCTCTGTACGTTCTTACTATGAAATTCGTGTATTTTTATTTGAGAAAATTCAAAAGCAACAACTATCTGACAGGTTTTAGGACGATGGAAATTTAACGACGATGAAATTCTCTGCTTCGACCGCTATAGACGTTGACACCAAGAAACAACTTGCTCAGGTTCTTCACCGGGAATAAAGCTGTTCTCTGGGCAGGCTACACCGGCCTGCGCAGACTCTCCCAGCCATGGCTCTGGTTACTTTGCAGCGCTCCCCTACCCCAAGCGCTGCATCCACAGCCAGCACAACCACCACCAACGTGGGGGAGGTAAGCTTGGAAATAGCTGGAGAGACGTTTTAGAAACGTCAACAAAGCGCAAGAAAACACCGGGGATACGTGGGAGTGACATAGGCCTAGAAGTGCTAGCTAAATCTAGTAATGGGATAAGCTAACTAGGTAGTAGCTAATAACCTCAACTCCATCGCTACCTAGCTAACGTTAGTTGTCTAGAAAAGCTAGCAAGCAAAGTTGTATGTCAGTAACACACTGATATAACGTCATGCTATTGCCGGCTATTAAAGTTATTAGCTTGCCAGCTAGCTAACGCACAATAAATATAAAGTTAATATAGTTAGCTAGCTTCTTGTTTGCCTTACTAGCTAGCTAATGATTGAGCTAGCCTGCTAATGAGCAGCGTAACTGCTGTGGCATTAGCGGCATATCCATTTCCAATAGCATCGTTAGCCTACATAGCTAGGTATCTGGTTGTTTGTCACTCTGCCAGGTAGTTTCATGTAAGTCCTACCGTAAGGTCCTGCTGGTGAATGCAGTAAGATAGCTAGTCAGCTAACAAACCACCAGTGTACTGCAGTGGTGCCATACAATTTGGTAGGCCAAAATGTTAACATTTAGCAAGTTAGTTGCCTAATATTTCAGCTACTACCAGCTTATTTCTTTGGCTAACTACTTGCTTATGTCAAAGTCAGGTGTTATGGACAGCATGGGTTATTTTCAATGCTGTTCTGAGATGTCTTCTAAAAGAGACCAGTCAATAAGGTGAAATGTGGCATGTAACTTAAAACAGTCATGTGGTAGAGTAGTGGTTCCCAACCAGGGATACTTTAGAATTGTATTTTATTTAACCTTTATTTACCCAGGCAAGTCAGTTAAGAACAAATTCTTATTTACAACGACGGCCTACACCAGCCAAACCCGGACGATGCTGGGCCAATTGTGTGCTGCCCTATGGGACTCCCAATCACAGCCGGTTGTGATACAGCCTGGAATTGAACCAGGGAGTCTGTAGTGACGCCTCAAGCACTGAGATGCAGTGCCTTAGTCCGCTGCGCCATTCGGGAGCCCAAGAAGAAGAAGACTCATGAGACTATATACCTACTGGTAAAATGCACATGAGGAGGTACTTCATGGGTACGCTGGGCAGAGCAAAATTCATTTGGTGGTACAGTAACCGAAAAAGGTTGGGAACCACTGTGGTAGAGGCCTAGTCATACTTTCCATAACAGAGTAAAGATAGTCTGCCAAACACAAACTAGTATAAGTCAGGTGAGCTTTGAACACTTCCACAATGACAAAATAAACTCTTGGTACTGCTCCTTGTGCTTATTTGTTTATTCAGATGAACCTAAGAGTAGGCATCAACAATAGCCAATGAATAAACGACAAGAACAATCCCATCTCAAAATGCAAATCAAATCAAAGTTTATTGGTTGCGTACACAGATTTGCAGATGTTATCGCAGGTGCAGCGAAATGCTTATGTTTCTAGCTCCAATAGTGTAGTTATACCTAGCAATAAAAAAACAATACACACATAATCCAGAAAAATAAAAAAAGTTTTATATAGGATGAGCCATGACTAAAATACAGTATATACATAAAGTGGGTAAAACAGTTTCTAAACATTTTTAAAGTGACCACTGTTCAGTGACTATGTACATATAGGGCAGCAGTCTCTAAGGTGCAGGGTAGAGTACCAGGTGGTAGATGGCTAGAACAGTGATTAAGGTTCAGGGCAGGGTACTGGGCAGAGGCCGGCTAGTGGTGACTGTTTAACAGTCTGATGGCCTGGAGATGGAAGCTGTTTCTCCGTCTCTCGGTCCCAGCTTTGATGCACTTGTACTGTCTCCGCCTTCTAGATGGTAGTGGGGTGAACAGGCTGTGGCAACAGTTTGGGGAAGGCCTTTCCTGTTTCAGCATGACAATGCCCCCGTGCACAAAGCGAGGTCCACACAGAAATGGTTTGTCGAGATTGGTGTGGAAGAACTTGACTGGCCTCAACCCCATCGAAAACCTTTGGGATGAATTGGAATGCCTAATCGCCCAACATCAGTGCCCGACCTCACTAATATTCTTGTGGCTGAATGGAAGCAAGTCCCCGCAGCAATGTTTCAACATCTAGTGGAAAGCCTTCCCAGAAGAGTGGAGACTGTTATTGCAGCAAAGGGGGGACCAACCGTATTAATGGGCATGATTTTGGAATGAGATGTTCGACGAGCAGGGGTCCACATACTTTTGGTCATGTAGTGTAACTCCTGAGTGGCGCAGTGGTCTAAGGCACTGCATCGCAGTGCTAACTGTGCCACTAGAGATCCTGGTTCGAATCCAGGCTTTGTCGCAGCCGGCCGCGACCGGGAGACTCATGGGCGGCGCACAATTGGCCCAGCGTCGGGTAGGGGAGGGAATGGCCGGCAGGGATGTAGCTCAGTTGATAGAGCATGGCGTTTGCAACGCCAGGGTTGTGGGTTTGATTCCCACGGGGGGCCAGTATAAAAAAACAAAAAAATGTATTCACTAACTGTAAGTTGCTCTGGATAAGAGCGTCTGCTAAATGACTAAAATGTAAATGTAGTGTAACAGTTAGTGCCTACACATCACAGCTATGACATTTAGATGTCACTCATGAAAAGATAGCTACAATCGAAGTACTGTTTTTGTGCACCTTCTCAACCAGTTGGGGGCGCTAACTGTTAACAATAGAAACAGGAGTCATGCTCAATACAACAAAGGCACTAGCCTACAGCAGGAAGGAAGGTTTTCTCCGTTAGCCCTTATTGAGGGAGTATTGGGTAGATTTGTCTCGAAGATGACGACAACCATGGTTAGGCCTAAATCAAGAACTGGTACTTGAGCATTAACTGGTCTTTATTTTCTTTAATTAGGCTGCTGCTTAGCTTTTTTAGCTACTGAGTCATTGGGCCTGACGCATTACATCTGCCATTTAAAAAAAGAAAAGTGTAAAAAGAAACACATTTATCGTGAAGATGATTGAGCTGGCCTGACTGAGGACCGGCCTTCCCTGTCACTGCCTGCCACTCACTTTCCATGTGGGATAGAATTGACTGGCTGCCTGGCTGCTTCCAGGGCTCTTCCCAGGGTCCTGTCTGATGAGGAGCAGCCAAGCCCCTCAGGAAGCTGCTGCAGCTATGATGTCATTCTCACATGGAGGGTGGGGGGATGTGGAGGGAAAGCGATGAGGGGAGGACTGTGGTGGGGTAACAATATGGTAGCTGTTGTGACGGTGTAAGGTAGGCTACATGATTTTGCCAAGAATGGAGAGTTTCATCCCTCTGTTTTAGACTTCCCTACGAGGTGAAATTCTGCTATTGTCATGTGTCTCGCTGTGGCAGAATTATGGCTGGGAATTCACTTGTAGTGGGTGCAGGGCTGTTCAAGTCAACTATTGGATTACCCTCCCTGATGGCCAACTGAAACACATCTTAAACACAGCGTTTGACACGTCCCTGGTTTGAGTTTCACCCTGATGCCCGTCCCCTGGTTGAATGGGTAGAGGTAGAGGCCAACCTCAGAGGCCTTACCTTACCTTACCTGCACCTTACCTCACCTTACCTGCACTGTTTGTTTAGATGGGGCAAAAAAGCCTTTACGTACCGTTTTGTGTGTGTTTATAAAAATGTGAGGTTTGACAATGTCTGTTCACTGTTATGAACCTATTCTGCTCATCACAAGTGTGATGAGCACTTGTTAGATACCGTAATGGAAAGTGGCGTGTGTTTTTGGAGCTGAAATACAGTGTTGGATACATCTTGTCACATTTTCTCTTAGTGCTGCAGTACTCTGGCCCGTCCTACCTTACCTTGGCAGGGAACTTGTGCTTCTCACTAGTAGTGCTTTGGTTGACAACCCTCAGGCTTTAGTAGGTGAAACTTCTGGAGAATGGCCCACCTCCTCACAGTTACCTGTCACCATATAGCTATAACCTGATACTCCCAGTCTATGATATCTCTCCTGGAACAATAACTGTTTTTAAGACATACCCTCCATTTAGTGGCGTTCACCTCTGATAAAGCCAGGTGGGTCATTCTCACGGAACTGTGAATAAAATACATTCTCAAGTGTCATTTTTCACAACATTTCCTCTTGAATCACTGATATTAGGATCTGTACTAATTTACTTTGTATAATTATTGTTCAGTTTTTTAAAAATCAGATATTATGCATTTTATCAAAATTTTCACACAATTCTCATTAACGTAAGTCCAGAAAGTAGTAAACAAATCAATATTTCTGATATTTTTTGTTACATTGCTCCCATAATGAAAAGGAGTGAGTTAAAGATCACACAGAAAACATA